CCCATTGGGATAAAAACTTTGTCTGCCTTTCTTTCCCCACTCCCTTTGAGGCGTGTGGTTGAGTGATCAAATGCCCACACACAACGCCTGCACATTCTATGTGGCCAGTATTGGTTGTTGAATGAAGGGGAGAATCAGGCCTTCAGACCACTAACAGAGACACTAATAACTACTTCCTGAGGGACTTCTAGTTGCTGAGCACAAGTCCTCCCACCCCCACCCCGGGAGCACGGCACATAGATACATCTGGTACAACATGGGCATTTAATACATATTTTAAAAATAAATGACTAAGGCCCATTTTAGAGATGGGGAAACCAAACCTTGGAGGGAATGCCCAAAGTTCTACAGCTGAATTGGGATTTGAATTCTGGTTTGCCCGATTGCAAAACCCATGGAGTACCCTGTGGTCTAGCCCAGGTTTTGCTATTTTTGATGATTCTCAAAGGAGACTCACAAAGGGCAAAGGGCTGTAGGAATACGCTGCAGCTGATAAGTGGGCAGTTTATATGCAAGGCTGCCTAATCCAGAGACAGGGCCACATGAGCACCCTCCTCCTTCCTTCCACAGCTTTCCGAGACTTCCCATTACCTGCAGGAGAAAGTTCTGGCATTCAAGGTCCTTCACAGCCTGTCATCAGCTCCCTACCACCCCTGAAAGGAGCTCAACCAACTCATCTCCCTGTTCCTGAACTTGCCCTCTAGGTCCCATAATTCTGTCCTGGCCCCCACCCCCACCCCTCACCATCACTCCAACCTGGCATGCCCTCTGCAGAGTCCGAGTCTCATTCCCTTTGTCCTCTCTCAGAGACCACCTGGAGGAAGTTTCAGGCCCAAGCCCCCTCAGACCTGGATAAGTTCACTGGAGGCTCTGGGCCCATTTCTGACTCTTTTCTGTGCCAAGAGCACAGGGGAAGAGCACAATACAGGTCTGGGATCTTTGCTAACCAAAAAAGAGTACAAAACAGGGGTAAGATGGCAGGGGGCCAGATTGGCATGGGTTAAATCCCAGTCCTTCCTCTTTCGAGCTGAGTAACCTTGGACAAATTACTTCCCTTCTCTGATCCTTTGTTTCTTCATCTGTAAAATGGGTATAATATCTCCTAAGTGGTAAAGGTAAAAACGTGAGGCAGCATTCCTGCATTTCCCAAGTGCCCACTGTGTCCCACGAGGTGTGTCATGCAACGTTTCATGAGGAACATGTGGCATGCATTCCTGTCTCAGGATTTTGACACACACTGGTTTTGCTCCTGGGATGCTTTTCCCCATTTCTTTGCATGCTTGCTTCTCTCATCATCATCCTGATCTCAGTTCAGTTGGCATTGCCTGGACCATCCTATTGACAATAGCTCCCTACAGATCCAGTCTCCCCTTCTCCTGGTCTTCTGTTTTACCTTCTCTAAAGCCTGAATCTGGAATTGCCTGGTTTAACCATTTTTGACTTGCAAATGGTCTGTATTTGCCCAGGAAAGGTACACATTCCACGTGGGCAGGCACCGGTGTCTTATCCTGTTGTCTGGGACAGAGTGGGCAGATTCAATACAGAGTTGCTGACTGAGTCATTGACCCTTAGCACCTGGGAGCCAGTATGTAAACTGGGCTCTGGGCAGCCCATGTGGCTGGCAAGGATCCCTTCTGTCTCTCTTCACTCCTCACTGCTCTCCCACAGCCATGTTTCTGCCCCTGCATGCTGGGAGCCCTCCCAATCCCAGGCTCTGCCCTGGGCTGAGTCATCTCCCTGGTTCTAGGCAAGACACACTGGAGGAGCTGGGTAAATGTTTGTGCTTTTCAATTGGACCTGCCTCAGTAACTCACCACCATCACATCTGAGGAGCCGTAGGGAAGGGCCAGCAGAGAGAGATGAAAGAAGGTGAGAAGGAGGTTTCAAAGTTAGTCCTTTGAGTGCAGATAAAAGCTACAGGGAGGGAGAGAGCCAGCAGAGAGGAGTTTGAGGAGGGGTGGAGAGCAATACTGGAGTGAGTGCAGTGGGCAATCTCTGCCCCTTCTCCTTCTCCCCCTCTGCTCTGGGTCTCCCAGGAGAGCTCTGGGGCTGACAGCCAGGGTGAAAAAGAGATGAAGGAGTTCAGACATAATGGCAAGAAGGTGGCAGTGATGGGGCTGGGGGAGCAGCCAAGGCTTCCTGGCCTTCTGGGTGAAGGCTGAGCTCTGCACACTGTCTTTGGGGTCCTGTTGCCTTCCCTTCCTGCCCTATCTCCTTCAGTGGGTGGCAGCCACCACCCCTCTGCCACCATTTGGCCACACAGTGTTCCCAGCTGACCACACCCAGTTCAATATCCTCTGGGTGTATTTCCCACGCTGGGAGTCCATGGGTACTTTCGCAGGACAGCACGTAGTTGGCTCAGGATCTGCTCATTGACTATGTGCCGTGGTTTGAGAGAGGCAACCAGGAACCCTCAGACCCTCTTCCCCATCCACCTAGCACTGGCCACTACTGGGACCCTGTCGCCTCCTCCGAGTCAGTCCCTGTTGTAACTCTTCTTCCATCACCTATCTGTCTTCTTTCCTCCGCCCATCCTGGACACTGGTCAGGGACTTGCTCCCTCCCCCACCACAGGGATGGTGCCCACAGCCCCCCCACTCTGTCTTGCCCTCTGCCTGTGTCTTTCTGTCCCTTCCTAGCTTTCTCTCCAAGCCTGAGAGGTTTCTCTGTCTCTAGGTCTCTCATCACATTTCCTTCAGCTTCCTTCTGTCCAACTTCCCTTTGTGTCACTGTGGGCCTCTCGACACCCCCTGGCATCTGGTTCTTTGTCTCTTTTTGAGACTTCCTTTTTCTGCATTTCATTCGCTCATCACATAGTGAATGAGTGTCCACAGACTGAGACATAGGGTTAGGCCCTGATGATGCATTTGTAAACAGACATGAATCTCCTACCCTCACAGAGCTTACGTTTCAGTGGAAGAAACAAATTAAAAAGTAGGCTGTCATCATTAGGTGCCATCAAGTCGATACTGACTCATAGTGACCCTGTGCACAACAGAATGAAACACTGCCCAGTCCTGTGCCAACCTCATAATCATTGCGTTTGAGACCATTGCTACTGCCACTGTGCCAATCTATCTAGTTGGGGAGGGGTCTTCCTTGTTTTCTCTGACCCTCCACTTTACCAAACATGATATCCATCGCCAGGGACTGGTCCCTCTTGAAATATGTTTGAAGTATGAGAGATGAGGTTTGGCCACCCTGGCTTCTAAGGTGCATTCTGGCTGTACTTCTTCCAACACAAATTGGTTTCTTTTGGCAGTCCATGGTACTTTTAATATTCTCCTCCAACGCCATAACTCAAATCTATCAGTTCTTCTATGGTCTTCCTTATTCACTGTCCAACTTTTACATGCATATGAGATTACTGAAAATACCATGGCTTGGGTCACAGGCACCTTAGTCGTCAAACTGACATCTTTGCTCTTGAACACCTTAAAGAGGTCTTCTGCAGCAGATTTGCCTAAGGCAATATGTTGTTTAATTTCTTGACTGCTGCTTCTATGAGTATTGATGATTGATCTGTGCAAGATGAAGTCTTTGACAACTTCAATATTTTTTCCATTTATCTTGATGCTATTTATTGGTCCAGTGGTGAGGATTTTTGGCTTCTTTACATTGAAGTGCAACCCAACCCATGGCTGTAGGTAACATATTAGATAGCAACAAGGCCAATGAAAGAAAAGTAAAATGTTGCTGTTGGTAAGTGCCACCGAGTCGGTTTTGACTCATAGCGACCCTATATAGGGTTTCCAAGGAGCAGCTGGTGGGTTTGAACTGCCAACTTTGTGTTTCACAGTCCGGTGCTAATCCTATAGTGGCATACCAGAAGGGGGGATATGAGGTGTTAAGGTGGGGTGGTTAGGAAAGGCCTCACTGAGAAGGTGAGGGGTAGAGGAAGTGAGGGGAGTACATTCTCACGAGAGTGCTCAGCCACTGCAATGGTCCAGAGGTGGACCGTCTGGAGTAGGGAGAGGCGGCAGTGAGGCTGGAGCAGATGGTACAAAGAACTGGAGAGGAATGAAGGGGAGGCTGAAAAATCACAGGCAGGGTCTGAGGGCCATTGTTCTGAGCGCTTTGAACAGAGCAGGGTCAGGCTCTGACTGACATGTTGACTCTATATTGAGGGTGGGAGCAAGGACAGAAGCAAGGAGACCAGGAAGGTCCAGGTGAAAGAAAATAGTGCCTTGGACCAGAGGGGCAGCTGTGGAGGTGGAGAGAAGTGATCAGATTTCAGGTCTGTTTTTCAGGTAGACATGGCAAGCTTTGCTGATGAACTGTCTGAAAGGAGATGTGAGAGAAAGACTCCTGGGTGGTGCAAATGGTCATGTGCTCAGCTGACAGTTCGAGTCCACCCAGATGTGCCTAGAAAGAAAAGACTGGCCATCCTCTTCCAGAAAACCAGCCACTGAAAATCCTATGGTGTCCAGTTGTTCTCTGGCACCCACAAGGTCTTCCTGAGTCAGGGGGACTCTGAGATGGAGTCACCTCCACAGTAGGTGCTGGTGGTGGGGTGGTGGTGGGGTGAGATAAAGACGTGTCTTCATAGTTTGGACCTGATCACCTGTTAGGATGGTACTGTCATTAGGGACCTGGGAATGACTGAAGGAGAAGTAGCGGTTTGCTTGCTTGCTTTTTTTTGGTGGACACATCAGGGGCTCAGCTCTGAACATGTTAGTGTGAGTGTCTAGCGCATTCCATGTGGAGATGTGGTGGATAATGCAGCTGAAGAAGTACCTTTAGGAGCCATGGGCAGTGGGATGGGCCACACAAGGGGGCATTGGAGACAGGGTCGGGGTCTGGTGTTGTGTCAGCCCCGTGTCCCTGTCTCTCAGGGGCTGTTCACACCATCTGTTTCCTTGGTCTCTCTATCTCTGCCCCTCCCCACAGCCCTAACCCCCCTCCCTACCGAAAGCCCCCTTCCCCTCCGCCCTACAATCAGTATGTGGGTGATGGTGGGGTAGCAGGCAGCAGGCGTCGGCCCCGGGCAGGGGTCTCACCGGACGGGCCGGTTGGCGGCGTCGGGGTCCCGCGCCGTCACTACGCCGACCAGGGAGCCCACCTGCGCGTCCTCCTGCACCTCCAGGAGGCCAGAGGGCGGCCGGAACTCGGGGGGCTCGTCCACGTCAGTCACGGCCACACGCACGATGGCCTGGTCGCGGAATGTGCCCAGGTCAGCAAATCGGGGATCCACGAATTTGTTGAGAGCTTCCAAGACTACGGTGTGCACCGGCTGGGACTCGAAGTCCAGGCGCTAGGGGGCAAGGGACAGAGGGTAGGTTAGTGAGTTGGAGTCTGCTCCCACAGTGACACCTGATCCCAAGCCCCTCTTGTTCTCGGAGTTAGGGAGGTGGCCCCAGAGAGGGCCAGACTGGCCCAAGGTCACCCCATGACCCAGAGTATCAGATCCATACCATAATAAGGACACTGAGACCCTGAGGGGAGATACACAGCCAATCAGGGTCTGAACACCTAGACTTCCCACCTTCCTGCACCGTATGCTGAGGCATTTCATTCATTTATTTCACAAATTCTTACAAAGCACTCTCTACGTGTCAGGCTTTAACTCTACTCACATGGTCTTACAAGCCTTACAGGCTTATACTGTTCCCACACCACTTCATAGAGGAGGAAACGGAGGCCCAGAGAAGTTCAGTAAGTCACCTAATACCACTTAGCAGTTAGTCACTAGCAGACACCGGATCGGAACCCAGGTAGTGTGGCTCCGGGGACCTCACTCTTAAACCAAGAAAAGAAGGGCACTGGATATGATGTTATCCAACTTGGTTGGGTTCAAATCCTGACTTCACCACCCACTAGCTGTGTGATCATGGGTAATCTCTTTAGTCTCTCTGGGCCTCAGTTGTCGAGCTGTTCCTGTGTGCCGTTGAGTCTGTTCTGACTCATAGCAACCTTGTATGAGTTTCCAAGGAGCAGCTAGCTGGTGGGTTTGAACTACCGGCCATCGGTTAGCGGTCCAGTCCTTTCCCTAGAGAGGATTCAATGCGAGAGAACCCCCTTCCCCCCATTACATACTGTTGAGTGCTTTTGGTTTTAACACATGTTGTTAGGTGCTGTTGAGTCAGTTCCAACTCATAGTGACTTTGTGCACAATAAAACACAACACTTCCCAGGCAACAGGATGGAGGGTGGATGCAGCCGCTGCCAGGAGTTGTGGGGGACACAGGAACTGGGGTTTGGAGAAGAACATGGTCCCTACACAAAGATTTACACCCTCGGAAACCCTATACAGGGTCGCTATGGGTCGGAACCGACTCGATGGCACATAACAACAACAACAACAACACATAGAGCAGGCACCTATCTGTGGGTGTTTAGGAAGGTCTTAACTCATAGCGACCCTAGACTAGATGTCAGAGTAGAACTTCCTAGGTTGCAATCTTTATAGCAATGGGTTTGAACCACCAACCTTTGGGTGAGCAGCTGAGTGCTTAACCATTGTGACACCAGGGCTCTTTTCCCTTGTACATTGTTGTTGTTATTATTGGTTCCAACTCACAGTAGCCCTGTAATAGGGTTTCCAAGGAGTAGCTGATGAGTTTGAACCGCTGACCTTGTGGCTCAAAACGACCTTGCAGTTCAATTTTTTATCCTGTGAGTTTAACTGTGAGTTGAGCCTGAATCAGCTAGCTAGTGCTTAGAGCTTTCCTCTGAGATCTGGCCACACCCAGGCAGGAGCTGCGCTTCTCAACAGCCCTGCTAATGGGTGATCCGCTGATGAATTAGCTCCATGTCTGTGTGTTGCCTCTGGCCTTCTGAAGACGATGTCTTTCAGCCATCGGGAATACTGATGGTGGAGCTGCATGCACCTCCATTCCATGTGGTGGGAACTATTTAAGTGGCAAGAGTGACCTTCCTCAACACCCTGCCCTTTATGTAGGAACCTTCCCTTTCCACTCACCCACCCCCACCCCTGTGTCTCCCACAGCTCCTGGCAGCAGCTGCCTCCACCCTCCATCTTGTTGCCTGGGCAATCGGGATGCAGGCAGGCAGGCAGGCAGTGGCCTGGCCTGGGAGTGAGCGATGGGCTGTGGAGCTGGGTCATCCATCAAGGAGGGGCTCTGCTCCCCAGCCAGCACTGCCTGCACAGGGACACCTCCGGCGCTGCCGTTGGAGCAGGGGAGAGGCCAGGCGGCGCATTGCAGGGAAGCAGCGTTGGAATTTCCAGGCCTGGCTCTACATGCTTTGTGATGCTGGGCCTCTCAGGGCCTCCACTTCCCCATCTGAGAAAAGGGTTTGTTTTACAGGAAGGATAAATGGAGATCCAAATATTGAACACAGCAGAGCACTTAAGTGGATGGATTCTGGAGCCAGACAGCCTAGGTCCAGATCCCTGCTCTGCTCTGCTGGATGTACAGCTGAGAGCAAGTTACTTACCTTCTCAGGACCTCAAGTTTCTCATCTATAGAATAGACAGCAATTGGTCCTGGGTGCTCAGAAGACCTAAGCCTAGAGGTGGAGAGGGGCAGGGGGATTTGGTTGCTCAGAGGCCTCATAGGGTTGTTATGTTGTTAGGTGCCATCGAGTTGGTACCGACCCACAGTGACCTTATGCACAGCAGAACAAAACACTGCCCATTCCTGGGCCAACCTCATTACTGTTGCCACGCTTGAGTCCATCGATGCTGCCACTTGGCCAGTCCATCTCGTTGGGGTCTTCCTCTTTTGCTCTGACCTTACCAAATATGATATCCTTCTCCAGCAACTGGTCCCTCCTGACAATATGTCCAAAGTATGAGAGACGAAGTTTGGCCATCTTGGCTTCCAAGGAGCACTCTGGCTGCACTTTTCCAAAACAGATCTATTGGTTCGTTTGGCAGCCCATGGCACTTTCAATATTCTCCTCTAACACCGTAACTCAAAAGCATCAATTCTTCTACGGTCTTCCTTATTCACTGTTCAGCTTTCGCATTCATATGAGGTTGTTATAGGGCATAGAAAGTGAGTGAAGGGTGCCTGGCACATGGCAGATGTTTCTATTTCTGACTGAGTGGGAGGAAAAGAGTTGAGCAATGCCAGATAGTGAGTGCCCCATCCCTGGAGGTATGCAAGCACGTTATGGGCTGTTCAACTCTGAGTTGCCAAGCACATGATCAAATTCTGGAAAATGGGAATTTTTCTTCTTCATCTGGCCTCCAAACCCTTTCCCTAGGGATGCCTGAGTTTTCAGATTTAGCTTCTGGTTTCTGCACTGGTCAGTGAATGAGAAATGCTGTTAGACTCAGGAAGGAAATAACTTTATAGTCACCAAACCTGGGTTTAAATCCTGACTCGGCCCCTTACAGGTGTGATCTTAGGCAAGCCCTTACTCTAGTTACTCATTTGTCTAAATAAGGGCGATGACCTTTCCTCTAGTGGGAGGCATATGGATTAAAGGAGATCCTAAGCGTGAAGGGCCTAGCATAGATTTGAGGGAACATTGTTGTTGTTGTTGAGTGCCTTCGAGTTGGTTCCAACCCATAGTGACCCTGTACAGGGTTTCCGAGCCTGTAAATCTTTACGGGAGCAGAAAGCGTCATCTTTCTCCCGCGGAATGGCTGGTAGTTTCAAACTGCTGACCTTAAGGTTCACAGCCCGATTCGTCACTACGCCATAGTCTTTAAGAGCACAAAGCATTCAGAATTCTAGAACCACTGAGACCAGAAGAACACCTGAAACTACTGCCCAAAGATAATCTTTAACCTTGAAACCATAAACCAAAAATATCCCCCGAAGCCTTTTTTAAACCAAACAACAGGCTAGCTTAACCAGTAAAGAATGTCTGCTGTGAACATTGTACTCTTTTTAAGAACTTGTTATATGGGATCAAATTGTTAATAGCAACTTGTAAGGTTAGAAAGGAAGCTTAGGGGGAAGTGAGTGTGTCTCAGGGGAGGAACAAGTCTGAAAAGGAGCGTGAGAATAGCTGCATAATCCAAAGAATGTAATAAACGATAAATCTATTGTAAAGGTAGAAATTGTTGAATTGGTGTATGTTTTGCTGTGCACATTCTCAACAATAATTAAAACAAGAAAAGTAGCACAAATGCAAACTTGGATTGAATCCCAGTTCTGCCAACTAGCTGTGCAACCTTGGAGAAATCACTTAGCCTCTCTGTGTCTGTCTCTCATTTGTAAAATGAGAAAGATACCACTAGTGTTTGCCTAGGTTGGTTCTGGGTGTTTGGAAGACCTAAGCCTGGAGATGGAGAGGGACAGGGGTATTTGGCTGCTCAGAGGGTCCCCTCAGCCCTCAGCTCCCCCACACCCCCGGGGCAGCTCACCTTCTGTATCACGATGATGGCTTCCTGAGTGTCACTGTCTGTGGTGACCTTGAACACGTCTCCGCCGCTTCTGCTCTCCTCCTTGATGTGGTATGTCATGTCGGTATTCTCACCCACGTCCGAGTCCTCGGCCTTCACTCGCCCCACAGCTGTGCCAATGGGAGCTGACTCCTGGATGCTGAACTGGTACATCTCTGTGGGGGACATGGCCAGGAACAATGTGGGCACCCTCTACCAGCTCCGGGAAGGGAAGAGAGTTCCAGATGGGCCTCCAGGGAGGGCAGTGTTTGCCAGGGGCTCCCTGTAGAAATGTTGGAGGGGGGTGCAAAGAAGGGGCCCTATTCTGTTGCTGTCGATAGATATTGTTGAGTCGGTTTCGACTCGCAGAGACCCAGTGTGATACAGTAGAACTGCCCATAGAGTTTTCTAGGCTGTTCTTTACAGAAGCAGTGATATACTGCTGGATGTAGCTGAATTAGCCAACCTTGTGGTTAGCAGTCAAGCACTTAACCCCTGTGTAACCAAAGATCCTGTTGTTAAGTGCCGTTGAGTCAATTCCGACTCATAGTGACCCTATAGAGGGTTTCCAAGGAGTTGCTGGTGGGTTTAAAGCCACTGACCTTGTATGTGGCTAACAGTCCTGTGCTTATCCTACAGTGCCACACCAGGACTCCAGAGATCCTAGGAGGGTCCAGTTTAGATCCTGGGTTTATTTGCTGATTGACTTGGAAAGGTCCCTGTAATTCTTTGGCTTCCACTTGCCCCGTCTGCCTGATGAGGGGGACAGAATAGTGCTGTGATAAAGACATGAATGTTCTGGAATCCATCCTAGCTATGTAGTCCTGAGCTTCACTGTCTTCATCTGTAGAATGGGATTAAAAATAGTGCCTTTCTTAAAGCAGAGCACAGATCATTTTATAACAGCTGGTTTACATTATTTATTCATCTCATCATTTGTTTAAATGATCTGTTTCATTTTCAATAGATGTTGTTATGAAGTACTGTCAAGTCATTTCCAACTCATAGCGATCCTGTATAGGGTTTCTGAGGAGTGGCTGGCAAGTGTGAACCGCTGACCTTGCAGTTCAAATAGACCTTGCAGTCAAGTGCTTATCCTACAGCGCCACACTAGGACTCCTTTCAATAGATAGCATCGTATTAAAAACTTTCTAACAGCACTGTTGTTAATAGCAATGAACTTAGATGATGATGCATGGGGGATTCTTAGGGCAGTGCCTAACACATACTTGAAAAGAACACACTATATTAAAATGTGGTGCTTCATACTGATTTTCCTGTTGATGTTTTTTTAATTAACAAGCTGTTGATGTTAATGGCACTTATTCCTCTACCACAACATATTTATTGAGCACCCTCGGAAACCCCGTACAGGGTCGCTATGGGTCGGAACCGACTCGAAGGCAATTAACAACAACAACAACAAATGTGGCGATGTAGGATCAACACTGGACTGTGAATCACAAAGTCAGCAGTTCAAACCCACCAGCTAGCTGCTCCTTACAAACCCTGTACAGGGTCACTGGGGTCAGAATCAACTCAGCGACACTTAACATCAAGATGTCCCTGGCACAGTTCTAGGCATTGGAGTTAGAGCAGTAAACAAAGGACAACATTGCCAGCTTTCTTGGTGCTTTCCTTTGAATGGCAAGAGAAAGACACAAACCATCACATTAGTAAACCATGTTGTTGTTGTTGTTAAATGGCATCAGAGTACGTGTTGATTCATAGCGACCCCATATAGGGCTTCTGAGGGGTGATGGGTACATTGGAACCACTGACCTCGCAGTTAGCAGTCCAGTATTTACCCTATATTGCCACACCAGGGCTCTTTAGTAAACCACACAGTATTTCAAATGGTGACGTCTACTTACAAGAAAAATAAAGCAGGGAAGGGGTATGGGGAATACTGATGGGAGCTTGAGAGGTGATCAACAAAGGCGTCGTGGGGACGAAGACATTTTTGTAAAGGTCTGAGGGAGTAAGTCAAGCAGCTCTTTGGGAAAGAGCACACCAGATGGAGGGGGCAGCAGGTGCAAAGGTCCTGGGGCAGGTACAATGTCTGGCATGTTGAAAGGCTGGCAACAAGAACAAAACACACACACACACAAAGAAAGGCTGGCAAGATGGCAATCATGACTAGAGGGAAGAGGAATAGGGGAAACCAGGAGGCATGAGGTCACGTGGGGTACAAGCACCTCTCCTCCCAGTGTGAGGTGAGGATGAATTGCTAATGGATGGGCCAGCCTAGGAGAAGCAGCTGCTGGGAGAAGTTGGATGTGGCTTTTTGAGACTAGTCCCTCTGTGGAGTGACCACCTCCATTCTATTAGCACACAGTGACCAGAGGGCTTTTTCTACAATGCAAGTGGACCACATCACTCCCTTCCTTACATCTCTTCTATAGCTCCCTACTGCCTTTGGGATGAAGGTACCCAACCTCTTGGCTTACCCTATAAGATTCCGGCTGCCTAGCCTCTTCTTCTCCAGCTTCATCCCTATCCACCCCCAACTCTAGCTTCAGCCTGGCTGAAGTTTTTGTTAATTTTTCAAATATGACAAGCTCTTTCTCACTAAGCACTTGCTTCCTTGTTCCCCATTCTCTTTTCTGCCTTCACATTGCTGATTCCCACTCTGCCTTCTAGTCTCGATGAATGTTACTGACTCTCAGGAACCTTCTTAGACCTCTAGGCTGGGCTCTTGTGCTCCCAGGGCTCCCAAGCTTTCCCCGCTGCAGGGATTACTGCATTTACTATCATTTTCTGTTTATTCTCTCCCTCTGTTGGGTCTGAGTGCCTGGAAGGCAGTGACGACATGTCTTATTCATCAGGCATCCTCAGCGCCTGGCAGAACACCAGACTGTCGCATAAATGAAATGTGTGAGTGACTTGTGAGTGAATGAATGAGAATGAACAAGAGTTACCTGTGTATACACATACCAGATCAACACAAATTAAAGAGTGCGACAATACCAAGTGCTGGCAGGGATACAGTGCAGTGAACATTCACATTTTCAGAGTGGAAAAAGTATGGTTTTACTTGGCTTTATTTGGTAAAATAACGCATACCCCAAGGGCACAGCAATTCTTCTCCTCTGTATATACTAGAGAAATGTGTGTGCAGACAGGCACTAAGAGACATGTACAAAAATGTTCACAGCCGTATTCTTCATAATAGTACCACACTTGAAATCACCCCAGTGTCATCAACAGTGGTTTTGCACAGCCGATCCTCCAGGTGTGTCAGAAGAGAACTGCTCTCTAGGGGTTTCAACAGCTGATCTTTTGGAACTATATCACCACAATGGCAAGGATGAATGTTCAAAACACAGTTTGAGAGACAAAAACACAAGAGATGAAATAATTCATAGTGTATGATTCTACTTCTATAAGGCTCACAAGAAGGTGACATGAAACGACAATGTTTGGTGATGTGTATCTAAGTGGACTTTTGTATTTTACGCCCTTCTATTTATGTGTTTAAGGGGCTCTGGTAGCGTAGTGGTTATGAATCGGGCTGCAAACCTCAAGGTCAGCAGTTCGAAACTACCAGCTGTTCCGCGGGAGAAAGATGAGACTTTCTGCTCCCGTAAAGATTTATAGCCTCGGAAACTCTGTACAGGGTCGCTATGAGTCGGAACTGACTCCATGGCACATAACAACAACAACATTTATGTGTTTGTGCTTGGAGTCCTGGTGTGGCACTGTGGGTTAATGTGCCAAATTGCAAAGACGTTTGAACTTCAAGGACGGTGGTTCAAGCTCACCAGCCACTCCTCAGAAACCCTATATGGGGTTGCTATGGGTCGGAACTGACTTAAAGGCACTTAACAACAACAACATTTATGTGCTTGATTAATAAAGTGGAAGATCAGAGAAAAAGAGGAAGACCCCCAATGAGATGGATTGGCACAGTGGCAGCAGCAATGGGTTCAATCGTAGCAACGGTTGTGAGGGTAGCACAGGACCAGGCAGGGTCATTATGAGTCACTCCTGACTCAATGACACCTAACAACAACAACAATTATGTTGCACAAATGGCTAAGCATTGGACTACTAACCAAAAGGCTGGCCATTTGAATCCACTCAAACAAAGGTGCCTCAGAGTAAAGATCTGGTAATCTTCTAAAAGACCAATCAGCCATTAAAAGCCCTACGGAGCCCAGTTGTACTCTGGCACACACAGAATTGCCTGGAGTTATAATTGATTCAATGGCAACTGTTTCTACTGGTTTATTTGTGTGCTGTATTTCACAATACAGAAATGATACGTTCTTTGAATGAATGAAAGAAAGAACACTGTCTTCCTGGGGCCCTGGCCTCCTCCTCTCTGTTCTGTCTACCCCTTCCAGCTCAGAGCTGGCACTTAAATCTGGCACAATGGGCAAGAGGCTGTGTGACCAAACCCCACTGCATGGAGCTTTGGAGTCTCCCCATCAGCACGTAGGGGCTGGGATAGAGGAGCTGGTGATGAGTTGGCTCTGTGCCAGGCTGCTTGGGGATGTGGTATTGGTGGTGGCTCTGCCCACCCTGTTCTATCGGGACTGAGGCTCAAGTCTGCAAGGCTGTGTGCACTCAGCTCGGGGATTGGATTCTCTTATCTCAAGGGGGTCAGTCCCCTGTGGCAGGGCCTAATGTGAGAGCAGCAGACCTTGGGTAATGACTCCCCCGATAGGAATCAGCCCAGCTCCCTGCAGCATTCAGTCTCTGCCAGCTCCAGAGGCTTACCTGGTGGCTCTCAGCATTGGTGGGCCTCAGTCTGGGACCGAGGGGCTGGCTGTGGCCCATGGGGGCAGGCGTGGGGTCAGTTCAGAGCCCACCTGTGCTGCACCAGGAGAAGTAGGGGTGGAAGAAGCCCTTTGTTCAGGAGCACAGTCTTGCTTTGCTGTCTCAGAGCCAGAGGGAAATGCGTCTCCACTCTCAAATGTGGGGATCCCCCCCTGCGCGGACGAGGCTGCAGCTTCTAGTCATCCCTACGTGACCCCGTTCTCCAAGCTTGGGTCAGGAGCACGTGGTAGCTCGCTGTGCCTGAAGTGGGGGCGATGGCAGATGGTTGGACAGGTGGGGCCCCCTGTCAGCAGGAAGCCAGGTGAAAGGTGGGAAGGTAACCGTGATACTTGGATTATGGAAAACCAGACACATTTTGGCTCTTCCTCTGCAAAAAGCATAATTGGGGCACTGGACTGCAAGGTTGGTGTGAACCTCAAGGTTGGTGGTTCAAGCTCACCAGCCACTCCTTGGAAATCCTACACAAGGTCGCTATGAGTCGGAACTTACTCAAAGGCACTTAACAACACGAAGCGGTAAGTAGGTGATTTGGGTGGACAGACAGACAAGACAGATGGGAAGTCCCTCTTTGGTGGGGAATCTAAAGTGAGACTGGGCGGGTGGCCAGAGGATGGCTTAGAAGGATGAACAGACAGTTTCTAACAGTGGCCTCCGCCCAGTGGGGCGAGGTGCTGGGGATCACTGGGTGGCCTAAGTGGACAGACATAGACAGCGGCCTCCCTCAGCAGGGGCTTCACTCACTCTGCGGGAAGCGGGGTGGGTTGTCATTGACGTCGGTGACCACGATGGTGACGGTGGTGGAGCCTGAGAGGCCACCCAGCTGGCCCGCCATGTCCATGGCCTGAATCACCACCTCGTAGCGCTCCTGTCTCTCTCGGTCCAGGTCTGGCACAGCTGTCCGGATCACACCTGTGAGTGGAGGGGGTGAAGCCAAGGCTGCCCCCACAAGCTCCGTGGGCTGAGGCAGGCTTGGATCTGGTGAGCGCTGGGTCAGGTTCAGGAGGGGAGTGGGTGATATCATAGACACGGGTACGGTCCCAAGGAGAGGCAGGGCTCAGCAGGCAACACACACCCACATAGCGCCTCACGTGTACTCACACACACACATAGCGCCTCACGTGTACTCACACACACACACACACACACACAGCGCCTCACATGTACTCACACACACACACACAGCGCCTCACATGTACTCTCACCCACCCACCCACACAGCGCCTCACGTGTACTCACACACAAACACACACACAACGTCTCACGTGTACTCTCACATACCCACACAGCGCCTCACGTGTACTCTCACACACCCACACAGTGCCTCACGTGTACTCTCACACACACATAGCGCCTCACGTGTACTCTCACACACACAACCACACAACGCCTCACGTGTACTCTCACATACCCACACAGCGCCTCACGTGTACTCTCTCACACACACACAGCGCCTCACGTGTACTCTAACACACCCACACAGCGCCTCACGTGTACTCTCACACCCACACAGCGCCTCACGTGTACTCTCTCTCACACACACACAGCACCTCACGTGTACTCTCACACACACACAGCGCCTCACGTGTACTCTCACCCACACAACGCCTCACGTGTACTCTCACACACCCACACAGTGCCTCACGTGTACTCTCTCACACCCACACAGCGCCTCACGTGTACTCTCTCTCACACACACACAGCGCCTCACGTGTACTCTCACACATTCACATGCGCACACAGGAACACACTCACACTCACATGTGTACACAGGTACACACACACACACAGTGCCCCCACATGTACTCACTCACATACACACCCACACAGCGCCTCATGTGTACTCACACATTCACATGTGTACACAGTTACACACACACAGCGCCCATGTGTACTCACTAACACACACACACAGCGCCTCACTAACACACACACACAGCGCCTCACGTGTACTCACACATTCACATGTGTACACAGGTACACACACACAGCGCCCATGTGTACTCACTAACACACACACACAGCGCCCCACGTGTACTCACACACTCACATGCTCACACAGGTACACAAACTCACACTCACACAGCTCCATGTGTACTCACACACAAATTCACATGTACACACAGGTACACACTCACACTCACGCCCCCATGTGTGCTCACACACACACATTCACATATGCACACAGGTACAAACACACTCAAATGCAACCATTTACATACAAACACATGCACACACTCACTTTCAAACACCCATGCGCACTCACACACTCCTACACACCCACACGTATATACACACACTCACATGCTCTTAAACTCTACTGCAACCACACACATACGCACACAAGTACACACGCTCACTTTTAAACACACATGCGCACTCACACTCTTACACACATGTATGTACACTCACACATAGACACACACTCACATACTCTCACACTCTAATGCAACCACACATTTACACACACACGTACACATGTTCACTTTTAAATACACATGTGCACTCCCTCTTACACACCCACATGTATATACACTCACATACTCTCACATTCTAATGCAACCACCACTTATATACGCACACAAGAACTCACGCTCACTTTCAAACACACATGTGCACTCTCACTCTTACACACCCACATGCATATACACCCAAACATATACACACTCACATATTCTGAAACTCAAATGCAGCCACACACTTACATACACACACAAGTATACACTCTCACTTTCAAACACACATGTGCACCCACACACATACTTTTATATGCCGACACATCCCCCCTCTCTCTCTGTCACACACATAGTAGCATCTGCCACAGTGTGACTCCCTTGGACAATGGACCTCACTCTTCAGGCCTTAGTTTCCGCAGCTGTAGGTCAGCCCTGACACTCTATGCACGACCCTGGACTGTGTCAGACTTGTATCTGTTGGTGGTCCTTAGGCCGGAGCTGGGCACAGAGCAGCAGTGTGGTGAGTGCTTGTCAGCGGGAACTGGACTCACACATGCACACATGTCCACTTACTGAGATGTTCCCCTGACTCCCTGCCACAACATATTTCACACATGTACTGCACACATGCACACTCACAGCTGTTCTCACACACTTTTATTTACACATGTCCCCCTTTATGATGGCAGCATCCCCCAGTCAGCCACAGGGGCCCCAGCTGCTCCCCTCCACTGGCCCTAGATTCCCTGTCCACCCACCAGCTAATCTCTGAACAGACAATCCTCTAAGCTGTTAATGGAAGCAGGGGTGGGGGCAGAGTGGGGTGTCTGCAAGATTAATTCTGTGGCACGGAAGGCTGGACTTCCTGTCACCCTGCCAAGAGAAGAGATTGGGGTTGGGGGGAGTCGATGAGGCATTCAGAACCCCTCCTGCCACCGACTCCAACCTGCCGAGTACCAGGTGGTGGCAGGTGGTCTCAGGGCCTGAGCGACAGGTGGAGTCATGTGTCAGTAGTGTCTTGATGTGTCCCAGAAAACCCAGGCGCTGACATGGCCCCACACAGCCCCCCAGGCTCCAATCAAGACAACAGGCCCGAAGAAAGGCTGGGTGGGTATTTGTCTGTTTATATATGTAGTTGGGGTGGGGCCTACCTTTGGAAAATCACATGGAAATATGGAGTAGGTGGTCTTATGTAATCAAAGGTTCCCTATCAGCCTTCTCCAGGCCCCCTTGCCAGGCCCCCTCCTCATCCCTCCTCTGCCTGGACTGGTCTTCCCAGGGATGGAGGAGCCTTGGGGGCAGGTGAATGTGGGATAAATCCCAGAGCTGCTATTTCTCAGTCCTGTGATCAGAAACAAATGCCTTCCTCTTTCCATGCCTCAGTTTCCTTATAAATGGAGAAACTAATGCTCTCTCCCTAAAGAGAGGCTTTCTCACCCTCAACATGATTGGCATTTGGGGTGGTTTGGTAAGGTGGAGGGTCAGAAGATGACCAACGAGATGGATTGGCCAAGTGGCAGCATTGATGGACTCAAGCGTGGCAACAGTAGTGAGGTTGGCCCAGGACCGGGCAATGTTTCATTCTGCTATGCATAAGGTTGCTATGGGTTGGTAATGACTCGATGGCACCTAACAACAACAACAACAATTATTTGGAGGGTCTGTGCATTGTATAATGCTTTACAGCATCCTTGGGCTTAATCCACTAGACGTCCCAGCTGTGACAACCAAAAGTGTCTCTGTTGTTGTTGTTAAGTGCCGCTGAGTCGATTCCGACCCATAGCGAGGAGCAGCTGGTGAGCTTGAACCAGCGACCTTGCAGTTCAAACGACTTTGCAGTCTGACGCATTAGCCCACAGCGCTAGACATCATTTAATGGTCCTTTGGGACAATACTGGCTTAGAAGCACTGCAAGTCACTGGTGCAGGCTTGCTCCCAGAGAGGCTCATGTATGATAATGACAATGACTAACACGTACATAAGGAGCTCTGGTGGTGTAGTGGTTACGAATCTGCCTGCAAACTGCAAGGTCAGCAGTTCAAAACTACCAGCTGCTCTGCGGGAGAAAGATGAGGCTTTCTGCTCCCGTAAAGATTTACAGCCTTGGAAACCCTGTTCAGGGTCGCTATGGGTCGGAACCGACTTGATGGCACTAATAACAACAGCAAGTGTACATACAGTGCTTCTGTGCCTGACACTGTTCTGGGCATCCTAAGTGCTCTATCTCCATCAACTATCACTCCCATTTTACAGATGAGGAACTGGAGGCACAGAGAAGTTGAGGACCTTGCGCAAAGTGGCAAATGTAGGAAGCAAGAATTCAAGCAGGCATTCTGGTGCCAGAGACCAGGCTCTGAGCTGCCCTATTGCCTGCTCTAAGGGAGGTGTCTTAGGACAAGGTCAAGGATAGCGGAATAAAAGCAGCAAGGTCTCTTAAGGTCAAGTCTTAGAAGTTATAAAATACTGCTGCTGCAACATTCCATTGGCCAAAGCCAGCCACAAGGACAGCCCAAATTCAAGGGGTGGTAAAATACACACCCCCTCTTGATGGAAGGAAGGCAAAGCCCCTCTACAGAGAGGTTTGCCGTCTGCTATGTACGGCTCCCATTCACATTGGCTACTGGGAGAAGCAGTGTGCTGCCGGTTGGGTTCCTAGAAGTCTGGAGTAAAAAGTCCCAAACTGGACCATAAATCTATTCTCACAACTGCTTGGCTCTGCAAATTCATTCATTTACTCATTCATTTATTAGACCTGCATTGAGTTGGAACTGACTTGAAGGCACTTAACAACAACAACAACAACAACATTGAGGCCCAAGGCTACACTGAGACAGACAGGAGGCAGTGCCAAAAGAAGTTAGTTTGGAGTGAGTCTGATGGATGTGGTCACTAGATTTTTCTCTATCATTTACTTGCCTATCTGATTTGGGGCAAGTTCTAGAGTCTCTGAACCTCAGTGTCCTAGTCTATAAAATGAGTATACCCACTCAGGCTTGTTGAGAGGATAAAATGAGATGAATCTTCCAGGAGAGGGTTTCGTATTTGGAGATGTCTCACCAATTCCCCTGGGTTAAGCACCTAATAAATAAGGTGCCCATGGAAGCTGCAGTCAAGAAATCAAATGACGTATCATATTGGGCAAATTGGCAACGGAAGACCTCTTTTGTTAAAAAGCAAAGATGTCACTTTGAGGACTAAGTTGGACCTGCTTCAAACCATGGTATTTTCAATCACCTCATATGCATGTGAAAGCTGGACAATGAATAAGGAAGACCAAAGAACAATTGATGCCTTCGAATTATGATGTGGGCAGAGAATATTGAGTATGCCAAGGACTGCTAGAAGAACAAAACGGTCTTGCACAAAATACAGCCAGAATGCTTCTTAGAAGCAAAGAAGGTGAGATTTCATTTCACGTATGTTGGACATGTGATCAGGAAGAACTAATCCCTGGGG